GGTGGATGATCAAGGAGAGGAGCTCCACCTTGGAGCTATGCGAGGAATGTCAACGATTAGGGTCCCAAACTTCGAGCCAGGGGAAATGTCTTCGGATTGGATTAAGGTGTGCAAGGTCCACAACGCGGTAAGGGATGTCGCGGAGGTGATCGTTTTTTGGATCCATCGGAGAATTGCACTTCGTCCAGTTGAATCAGATGAACCTCGCGCGGATGGTAAAGATCCACCGGTGCCAGAAATGGATTTTCGTGGTGGAATTCCAAGACTAGCGATGATGTGTGTCCGAGATGTAAACGACTTGATGAAGTTCGTGGAAGTCGCGGAGGGCGAAACATCTGAGGAAGAGGATGTGCGGTTGATGAAGGCAGCTCCAGAGAACATCTACACCCCGAACATCGAAGACATTGTCAGCAAGGTTAGCCCTGAGAACCCATTGAAGGTGACCCACACTGTCGATCCTCGAGAAGTTCTACCAGTCGTGGATGTTTGGGTTCCCGCGATGGAAGCAGAGCTTGCAGCCTTAGACAAGATGGCCGCGATAAAAAGGTGCAAGGGTCCAGAAGCACATCGCATGAGAAAGGATCCAAACGTGGTCATTGTTCCAAGCAAACTTGTATTTACAGTCAAACCAGGACTGGAGCCCGGCAAGATCCGAAGAAAGGTTAGATGCGTGGCCTGTGGAAACTTCTCTGGGGAGTCCGCAGAGGAACTGGGAGATGTGTATTCAGCAGGGGCAACGATCGACCTGGTGAGGATTTGCTTGGCAGAAAAGAATGCTCATAAAGGATGGATCGCAGCTACGGATGATATAAAAACAGCCTTTCTACGCGCTCCAATTCCAGATCTTCCAAATGGACGTAAGTACGCAATGGAACCACCGAAGGCTATGATCAGGGCTGGGTTGGCAGAACCAGGGGAACTATGGCTAGCTACCGCGGCTGTATATGGTTTCCAGAGGAGTCCGAAATGGTGGTCAGAGCAAAGAAACGTCACAACGGCAGCGGCGAGGCGGCGCTCTCCAAATGGTGGTGAAATGAGAATAGTTCCGCGTGTAACCGATGAGAGCCTCCACAAG